TAAATATTCCCTCCTTTTATTGATTCATTTATAGTACCTTGATTATTATAGTGATTGAAAGAAATTTGAAACTTTTGTAATAAGTAACAATTTGAACTAGTTAGAGACGACTTGATAGTAGTTCTTCGTTCAGTTTGCTCGGGGAACTCGTGAGATACTTTACTATGATTTCTCAAAATCGAGATCTCTTCAAACATCATTTCATTTTTTCAAATCGTTTATTTTTGATTTTTTCTAATCAACGTCCTAATGGAAAACAAAAGTATCAGTTGCTGTTTTGTTTAATATTATTTATCTTCTCGACACCCTTTGTTTTTCAAATGGTATTTGTATTTTTTTCTTCTTTTACCCTACATGTAACTTTTATTTATTATAATTGTTTTTAAACAGTGACTCTGTTTTATCTCATATAATTAATTTTGTTTTTATTTATTACATTTCATTAGAATCTACGATTTTAAATATATTGTACTAATTTAAAAAGAAACAAATTTTTTACCTTGAACATGTTACTTATAGAAAAATTGTCTATTTGTGCAGCTGCTTGAGCTTTTTTCATCAAAGTCGATCGAGAGATCGACTATTATAATGATTCAGAGATTAATATCACATGTTATTTTCATTTCTGCTTATAGTGTTAGTTATTTTAGCTTCGTTAAAGTTAGTATACTTTTATTTTTTAATAAAATTCAATGGTGTAATTTATAAGAACATTTTATAAAAAATATTTCTTTTTAATTTTAAGATTCAATTACTGATTGCCCGTTTTAAACTTGATCACGAGAACATTTCCGATCTAGATGAATTGATCATTATAGAAAAGTATAATGATCAAAGCAAATTTTTTGTGTATGCTCTAATGTGTAAGTTTGAGTAATTATTAACTATTAGTTTATTATTTCTCATATTTTTTAAGCATATGTTTTCTGCAATTGTTACAGTTTTCTTTGATATTAACTGCTTTTTAGTTATATTTCCATCAATTTTTAATGCTGTTTTATATTCCATTGGTTTATTGGATGTTCATCAATTAACATATCCAGTAATCGAGAAGAATATTAGTCACGTTGATATACAATATTATATTCTGGTTATTGGTCAATCATTAGGAGTTTTAATGACAGTAGTAGTTGGAGGTTTTAGTCTTTCAACATTTTTGGTTTTCATGGAGCATGCCTGCTGTCAATGTAGCATTATTAGGTACGTTTTTTGTAGGAAACTAAATTTTTTCTTTATTTTTCTACTTATTATGTATTTAGCAATTTATGTAGAATTTTCTCTATTTAAAACACAGACTTAAAATTCGTAAACCATTTCAAAATAATCAACAATCCGGTTATCAGAAGATTGGATACTTTAGTACACCAATGGAAGAATACGATTGGATAAGCGACATTGTAAAACGTCATAGAAACTTTATAGAGTGAGTGTAAAAGTTAAACAAAGTTAATTACTTTCTTATTATATTTTATTATATTTAATTAATTTTTTTTCCTTTTTGTTTTTTAGATACGTTGAGATGATTAAATACGTTTCTAATGTTGTCTACTTGATTGTAATTTTTCTCGGAATAATTCTTTTCATGTTTAACTTTTTATGTGTAAGTCTCTTATGTATAAAATCTTGTGTTAATAAAAAAAATGTTAGTATGGAATCACATGTATTGTTTCTGATACACATATTTTTTTTACATATATCGAATAAAAAGCTTTTTACTATAAAAATATAATTTTATCTATTCTTTCAGATTCTCGAATTTTCGGTATTATTGAAAACTTTGAGAGAAAAAATTGAATGCATCCTTTACGTCACTGGCACTGCATTCACTTTATATATAAATTGTTATCTTGGACAAAGGTTGTTGAATCATAGCAATGCAGTGTTTGAAGAATTGTAAGGACACAATTAGTTTGTTTAATTAATAATATATTCAACTTATCTTTCAGTAATAGTAGAGAATATAAAATCTTTTTTATAGAATTTTAAATATTTTCTTTCAATAATTTTCGTATAGTTTTAAAATTTAATTCCACATGAATACATACATATGTAATTGTATATGTAAAATGTATAGTTTAAAAATGTAATTGTATATAAATGACAAAAGTAATTTTAATTGTTTGTAGATGTAACGTTCCATTTTATAATCTTTCTCTAAATACACAAAAATTGTTATTATTTRTAATAACTCGATCTGGAAAGCCATGTTTTCTTTCAATTGGAAATATGTTTGTTTCATCGCATGAAATTTTTGCCAGCGTATGTATTACAATTTAATTCAATAATATTTTAACTAATTTTTCTATTAATAAATCAATGTTTTTTTTTTCTTTTTTTTTTTTAGTTTATACGAAAAGCATTTTCTTTTGCGATGGTCTTCTACAGTGCACAATAATTCAATGCTTTGGTGATATAGTAAAGAAAAGAAAAAAATAAATAGTTAAATATTGTGTATTAAGCATAAATAATTGTTATTTAATAAATTTAGAAATACTTACATATTTTAAATATACATTCATTATATAATTATTATTTAATCCGTCTTTATTATTTGTTCGATTAATTAAAAGAAGTCTCTTCATTCATTTTTATTCGTACATTTTTTTTCTATGTATTCTTTATTATTACTACTGCTTAAAACTTTTATTCTTAACTTCATAGTTTAAAGAAAGCTGTGTTGCTATTTCTGGAAATGGTTTTGTTTTTTTACCGAGGGTAGGTTGATAGCCTTGCCCTCGAACCCTCCTCCTTTATCTGGGCTTACGACCAGCTAAATATTATCTAGATATCTAGATAATCACACACACTATGCGGAGTTATTTGTACATTTCAATTTTTTAGGAAATTACTATTTAAACAGTTTTTTTAAGACACAAAGTATTTGAATATTTGAATGACTAAAATATTAAACTATTTTCTATAGGAAATGGATTTTTACTTTTAAAGCTAGTGTACCGGACGGCTGTCGAAGTGCAACTGACCAAGATTGCAATTCCACAACCCTTCTGCGCATGCTCTTGGACACTGAAAGTAAAAGGTATTTTTTCCCCTAGTTTAATTATGGGAATCACCATATGTTTAAATACGTGTATGTATGAATAGAAAATATTGCACATAGAATTGCTATGAGATAAAAAGAAACGTATAAATATTCCCTCCTTTTATTGATTCATTTATAGTACCTTGATTATTATAGTGATTGAAAGAAATTTCAAACTTTTGTAATAAGTAACAATTTGAACTAGTTAGAGACGACTTGATGGTAGTTCTTCGTTCAGTTTGCTGGGGGAAATCGTGAGATACTTTATTATGACTTCTCAAAATCGAGATCTCTTCAAAGATCATTTTCTTTTCTCAAATCGTTGCTTGCAGTTCTTAACGAATCAATGTCCTAACGGAAACCAAAGGAAGCAGTTGTTGCTGTATTCGATAGTAGTTACCTACACGTCACCATTTGTTTTTCAAATGGTATTTGTATTTTTTTCTTCTTTTACCTAACATGTAACTTTTATTTATTATAATTGTTTTTAAACAGTGACTCTGTTTTATCTCATATAACTTAATTTTGTTTTTATTTATTACATTTCATTAAAATCTACGATTTTAAATATATTGTACTAATTTAAAAAGAAACAAATTTTTTATCTTGAACATGTTACTTATAGAAAAATTGTCTATTTGTGCAGCTGTGTGAGCTTTTTTCATCAAAGTCGATCGAGAGATCGACTATTATAATGATTCAAAAATTAATATCACATGTTATTTTCATGTCTACTTATAGTGTTGGATATTTTCGTTTCGTAACAGTAAGTAGGCTAACTTATATTTTAGTTAAATACCTTGCTGTAATTGGAGAATATTTTATAGAAAATATTTCTTTTTCATTTTAAGATTCAACTACTTATTGCCCGTTTTAAACTTGATCACGAGAAAATTTCTGATCAAGATGAATTGAACATTATAAAAAAGTATAATGATCAAAGCAAATTTTTTGTGTATGCTTTAATGTGTAAGTTTGAGTAATTATTAGATATTAGTTTACAATTTCTTATATTTTTTACCTATACGTTTCTTTTACTTTTTCAGTTTTCTTTGATGTTAACTGCTTCTTAATTGTTTTTCCACCAGTTTTAAATGCTTTTTTATATTCTATTGGTTTATTGAATGTTCATCAATTAACATTTCCATTAATCAAAAATAATATTAGTCATGTAGGTATACTATATTATATACTGGTTATTGGTCAAACAGTAACAGTTGTTATTGCAGTAGCAGTTGGTAGTATTAGTGTTTCAACATTTTTGGTTTTCATGGAGCATGCCTGCTGTCAATGTAGCATTATTAGGTACGTTTTTTGTAGGAAACTAAATTTTTTCTTTTTTTTTCTACTTATTATATATTTAGTAATTTATGTAGAATTTTCTCTATTTAAAACACAGACTTAAAATTCGTAAACCATTTCAAAATAATCCAAAATCCGGTTATCAGAAGATTGGATACTTTAGTACACCAACGGAAGAATACGATTGGATAAGCGACATTGTAAAACGTCATAGAAACTTTATAGAGTAAGTGTAAAAGTTAAACAAAATTAATTACTTTCTTATTATATTTTATTATATTTAATTAATTTTTTTTCCTTTTTGTTTTTTAGATACGTTGAGATGATTAAATACGTTTCTAATGTTGTCTACTTGATTGTAATTTTTTTCGGAATAATTCTTTTCATGTTTAACTTCTTATGTGTAAGTCTCTTATGTGTAAAATCTCGTGTTAATAAAAAAAGTGTTAGTATGGAATCACATGTATTGTTTCTGATACACATTTTTTTTTTTACATACATCGAATAAAAAGCTTTTTACTATAAAAAAAATAATTTTATCTATTCTTTCAGATTCTCGAATTTTCGGTATTATTGAAAACTTTGAAAGAAAAAATTGAATGCATCATTTACGTTACTGGTTCAATATTTTCTGTTTATACAACTTTTTATTTTGGACAAAGATTGTTAAATCATAGCAATGCAGTTCTTGAAGAATTGTAAGGACACAATTAGTTTGTTTAATTAATAATATATTCAACTTATCGTTCAGTAATAGTAGAGAATATAAAATCTTTTTTATAGAATTTTAAATATTTTCTTTCAATAATTTTCGTTTAGTTTTAAAATTTAATTCCACATGAATACATACATATGTAATTGTATATGTAAAATGTATAGTTTAAAAATGTAATTGTATATAAATGACAACAGTTATTTTAATTGTTTGTAGATGTAACGTTCCATTTTATAATCTTTCTCTAAATACACAAAAATTGTTATTATTTATAATAACTCGATCTGGAAAGCCATGTTTTCTTTCAATTGGAAATATGTTTGTTTCATCGCACGAAATTTTTGCCAGCGTATGTACTTAATTATTATTAAATGTTTAATTATTATATATAATATTTTACTAATAAATTATTTCTTTTTTTTCAGTTAATGCAAAAAGCATTTTCTTTTGCTATGGTCTACTACAATTCACAATAATTTCAGGTTTTTGTGATACAATAAGAAAAAAAATATAGAAATAATATATATGAAACATATTTAAATTATTATTTAATATACTCAGAAGTACTTACTTTATCTTCAATTGTATTTGTCAAACAATTATTATCTAAACTATTTTAAATGTTTGTTCAACTAACTAAGAAACATGTTTTACCTTGATCTTTATTTCTATATAATCACTTATATTAAACTGTTACGAAAACACTAACTAATCCACTTTTTTTTTAAAAACACTATAATTATTTGTTGATTTTAAAGATAAATATATTTTACTTACTGCAACAAGAAATAGTTTTCTTATTTTTAAAGTAGTGTTCTGCACCGCTGTCGAAGTACAACTGACCAAAATTTCAATCCTTCAAACTCTCTGCGCATGTCCTTAGATATTGAAAGTAAAACATATTTTTTCTCCCCTCCTTTAATTATGGGAATCACCATCTGTTTCAACACACGTAAACAGGTATATCTCAATATAAAACAATGTACATTGAAACATATGTAATAAAAAGAACTTTTTCAAAGTAATCTTATTGATTAAATTGTAGTTTTTTAATCATGACACTTATTTACGCAAATTTACACGATTTGTACTAGGTAACAATTTGAATAAGTTAGCTGCAAGCAGGACATTGACTTTTGTTCAGTTTGCTGTGAGATTTCGTGAGATACTTTACCATGATTTCAAAAGATCGTCATTTCGAAATACATCACTTTCTTTTTTCTAATCGTTTATACAAGATTTTAACGAATTATTATCCAAATCGAAATTCAAGGGATCAGTTGTTTTTATTTTTAGTTATTCTTACTTATATTTTACCTTCTCTTGTCGTAACGGTAAATGCTATTTTTGTGATTCTGTTCAAATAATTGCAGTGTTTTAGTTTATTATCATTAAAATTACAATTTATATCAATTAATTGATAAAAGTAATTTCGATTTTCACTTACGTTTTTTTTTTGACAAAATGGTAGCGAACTGTAGTTCACCTAAACCTTAACCCTTTGTACTCCGAATTATATTTCAATTTTATTTTCAACAGATTCCAATGACTTTAAATCTATATTAAGGATTTATATTAATTAAAAATATGTAAATTTAAATATAATTTAAAGGAAAAAATAAAATGTTTATTTTATTTTCATTATTTTTATATTTTGTAATTTTCAAAGTTTCATTTTTTGATGTAAAAACCGATGCCAAATAACACCCTACATAGAAGTGCAAAGGGTTAATGTATTCTATGGTTTTACTTTAGAAAATTTGTATTTAWTAACAATTCTTCTAGGTGTATTTATATTACATATCCGATTTAACCCTGCAGTCAACTGTTAAACTTATTCAAAAATTGGTTACAGCCTCAATAATGTTATCTACCTACGGTACTTCCACCTATCGCTTTGAGACAGTTCGTTAAATTTTATTTGTAAATTCGTGAATGATCTTTATTCTTGCAAGTAAAATATATATTTTTATTTCTTTTAGTTAAAATTACTTAAGGCACGTTTAAAATTAGAAAGCGAAGAATTGACTAATCTCGAAGAACTATGCATTTTGAAAAAGTATAGTGATCAAAGTAAATTATATGTGCGTATCGTAATACGTAAGTATGAGTAATTGCAAGAATAAAGTTGTAAAATGAATTTTTAGTAATATAAATCATTGTTAATTTTTATAGTATCTTTTTACGTTTATGGCTTTTCACTAATATTTCCAAGCATTTTTGATCTGTTTATGTTGTATATTGGCAAATTGGAAAATAATCAATTAAGGCTACCTCTTATTGAAAATAAAACCTTTGAATCTGGAGTTATATATTATAGCTTGCTTAGCTATCATATATTTGTTCTTATTATATTAGCTACAATTGGATGTTTTAGCTTCTCAACTTTTTTAATTTTCATACAACACGCTTGCTGTCAGTATACAATTATAAAGTACGTTTCTTGTGATAGAATAATTATTTTGTTTAATTGTGCACTGACTATGTACTTTATAATATCGTTAAAATGTTATTTTTGAATAGTAGATTTAAAATTCGTCAACCATTTGAAAAAACACAAAACTACAATAGAAAGTGTTTATATTTTGTTACACAAACTGAAGAATACAATTGGTTAATCGATATTATCAATCGACATAGAAAATGTATTGAGTAAGTCGATTATGTTTCTCATAAATTTGTATAAATTTAATAATGATCATAAATTTGTTGATTTTGTTCTACTTAAGGTTTGTTGACATGCTTAGATACGTCTCAAATGAAGCATATTTTGTTGTTGTTTTTCTTGCAATGATTCTCGTTGTTTTTAATTTTGTGTGCGTAAGTAACTTGCGCAAAATTAATAGATAGTGCTATTTATTATTATATGTAGATTTTCTTTTATTTCTATTTTATTAGAATACAATTTTATACAAGTTTTTATTGTACTATTTAGACATTTGTGTTGTAGATATTTTATTTTTTTATTTTTATAAAATAGGAACAAAAAACACTGAAGTATATTAATAAGATACTTTATTATTAGTTTTAATACTAAATCTATCGCTTATTTTTAGATAATGGAATATTCTGAATTATCAGAAAATCTAATAGACATAATTGAATTTGGCATGTATATGATTGTCTCATTTTTTACAATATATATTAATTTTTATCTTGGACAAAAGCTGCTAAATTATAGCAACGCGGTATTTGTGGAATTGTACGAAATATTTATTTTATTTAAATAAAAATTCCTATATTTTCCGAAATATATATATCATAAATGTTATATAAGGAATTTTACTATTGGTATAAATAAAAATAAATAAAACATTGTACATAACTTAAATATTTTTAACCCTAATTCCTTTGAGTTTAATAGCAAATAATTTTTTGTTACAGATGTCAAGTTCCGTTTTATACTTTTTCTAAAAATACACAAAAATTACTTTTATTCATGATAATGAGAAGTGAGAAACCGTGCTTTCTATCAATCGGAAATATGTTTGTATCATCGAATGCAGTATTTGCCGGGGTAAGTATTCAATTATTATTAAATGTTTAATTATATATACTACTAATATATTATTATTATTTTTTTTTTTTAGTTAATACAAAAAGCATTTTCTTTTGCGATGGTTTACTACAATGCATAATAATTTGAAGGTTTCATGATAACATAAAAGAAAAGAACTATTTGACATAATTCTTGTTAAACATTAATTAATTAGAATTTAGTACATACAGAACTACTTACTTTTTTTTTCTAAAATAAATTTGATATAATTGATCCACTTTTGTTTTTAAACACTAATTGTTTGTTGATTTTAAAGATAAATATATTTTACTTACTGCAACAAGAAATAGTTTTCTTATTTTTAAAGTAGTGTTCTGCACCGCTGTCGAAGTGCAACTGACCAAGATTGCAATCCAACAATCCTTCTGCGCATGTCCGTAGATATTGAAAGTAAAAGGTATTTTTTCTCCCCTTTGTTTAATTATGGGAACCATCATCTGTTTCAAAACACGTAAACAGGTATATCTTACTAGAAAAACATTGCACGTTGAAATGATACGTAGTAAGAGGAAATTTTAATTAGTATAATTTTATTGAATAATTTATAGTACTTTGAATCATTATCCTGATTTTCTAAATTTTACACTATTCGTAATAGGTAGCAATTTGAATTAGTTAGGTGAAAGTAGGAGATAGACTTTTGTTCAGTTGACTGGAAGATTTCGTAAGATACTTTACCATGACTTTGAAAAAACGTGATCTCGCGAAACATCATTTTCTTTTTTCAAATCGGTTATTTCAATTTTTGACGAATCAACGTCCTGATATAGAAACGAGGAATCAGTTTGTAATATTTTTATCTATTATTACCTTCATTTGTCCTTCTATTATTGGAGAGGTAATTAATATTTTTCTTCAAAGTGTACGTGATCAATACAATGTTTTAGTTAATTAATATTGATGTTACATTTTAAATTGATTTCAATTTAATGATAATTCATTGATGAAACTAATTTTGTTTTACTCTTATGCTTTGGTTTGACAGAATTTTCGAAATCTGTCTTTACACAATTCTATATGCCTAAGAGAGTTTAGTTTGAATAATTTTATGTAAACTAATAAGAATGTTTTTTTTCTAGCTGTATTTATTTTTCATAATCGAACTTAGCCTGAAGTCAACTGTTAAAATTATTCAACAATTAGTAGCAGTATTTATCATAATCTCTACCTATAGTGTTAGCTTCTTTCGTTTTGAGACAGTTCGTTGAATTTTATTTTTAAATTTGTGAATGGATCATAGTTCTAACAAGTAAAATATATATTTTGATTTTTTCTAGGTGAAATTACTTCTATCACGTTTACAATTAGATTACGAGAAATTTTCAAATTTAAATGAATTATATATTTTGGGAGAGTATACTGTTCAGACTAAATTTTACGTGTATACTATTATGGGTAAGTATAAGTAATTGTAAGAATAAAGTTGTAATATGGAATTTTTCGCAGTATAAATTATTATTTATGTTTACAGTATTTTTTTACGTTTATTGCTTTTCACTAATATTTCCAAGCATTTTTAATGTGTTTTTGGTATTTATTGGCAAATTGGAGGATAATCAATTGACAATACCTCTTATTAAAGAAAAATCATTTCAATCTGGAGTTATATTTTATAGCATGCTCAGCTATCAAATATTTTTCATTATTATAGTAACTGTAATTGGAAGCTTTTGTTTCTCAGCTTTTTTCATTCTCATACAACACGCTTGCTGCCAATATACAATTATAAGGTACGTTTCTTGTGATAGAGGGTTTTTTTTTTTTTATTTATTTATTTGTATACTGATTATGTACTCCAGAATATCGTTAAAATGTTCTTTTTGAATGGTAGATTAAAAATTCGTCAACCATTTGAAAAAACACAAAACTACAATAAAAAGTGTTTACATTTTTGTACACAAAATGATGAATACAATTGGATAATCGATATTATCAATCGACATCAAAAATCTATAGAGTAAGTTGATCATGCTTTACGTAAATTTTTCTATAATCTTAATAATGATTATAAATTTGTTAATTTTGTTCTAATTAAGGTTTGTTGACATGCTTAGATATGTCTCAAATGAAGCATATTTTATTGGTCTATCTCTTGCAATGATTCTTACTGTTTTTAATTTTGTGTGTGTAAGTAATTTGCTCAAAATCATTATGTAATGCTTTTTATTATCATTTTTTTTGTTTTTAATTACTTAGAAATTTGTGTGCTAGTAATATCTATTCTTTTTATGAAAAGTTGACAATAAAGAACTGAACTAGATTATATTTTAACATGTTATAATAATCTGTTGTATGTTTTTATATGGAAATTTTGTTGATTGAAATACAATTGCTTGATGAAGTAAGTGTTTCTGTATAATATATACATATGTATTATGCATAAAGTGCAAAAGTGTTAAAAAGTTACTTTTTCTAGAAGTATTTTTTTTTTATTATTTAATATTGAAATAATTTTGTTTAGAAAATAGTGTTTATTTTGTCTTTCTTGTAGCATTTTCATTTTTTCTAACGCAATTTTTTCGAAATTTTTCCTTTCCTTTTAGATCCTACAATATTCTGAATTATCAGAAAGTGCAATTGATACAATCGAATTCAGCATGTATGTTTTTGGCTCATTTTTTACAATATATATTAATTTCTACCTGGGACAAAAGCTATTAAATCATAGCAAAGCAGTATTTGTGGAATTGTACGAAAAAATTATAATAAAAAAGAAAATTTTATACTTTCAAGAATCACAATTGTTCTATTAAGAGAGTTTTAGTATTGATATAAATAATTATAAGTAAATCACTGCACATAACTTTAAAATTTTTAACACTTAGTTAAAATTTTTGTGTACAATGACAAATATACATTTGTTACAGATGTCAAATTCCGTTTTATACTCTATCTATAAATACACAAAAATTAATTTTATTTATGATAACGAGAAGTGGAAAACCATGCTTTCTCTCAATTGGCAATATGTTTGTTTCATCGCACGAAGTATTTTCTGGGGTAAGTATTTAATTGTTATTTAGAATTAAATTATTAATACTTATAAAAATAATTTTTTATTTTAGTTATTACGAAAAGCATTTTCTTTCGCTATGGTCTACTACAGTGCACAATAATTCAAAGCTTTAGTGATACAATCAGAAAAAACTATGTGAAATAATTTGCATCACGCATACTAAATAAATATTTAATAAATATGAAGTATTTTCTTTTTTTCAATAAATTTTTTTAGAATAAGTATTATTTAAACCAGCATTATTATATCTTTAATTCACTAAAACACTTGATCAGTTATTTGTCCTTATTTCTATTATATCACCTATGGTTATTGTTTAAGAATACACAAGAGTATCATTTTTTTTTTAAACTTAAAATATTTGTTAATTTTAATGACAACTATATTACACTTATTGCAATAAGAAATTGATTTCTTTTTCCAAAGCTAGTTTCCAGCACCGCTGCCGAAGTGCAACTGACCAACATTGCAATCCTTCAACTCTTCTGCGCATGTCCTTGGACATTGAAAGTAAAAGGTATTTTTTCTCCCCTCGTTTAATTATGGGAATCACCATCTGTGTTAATACACGTGAACAGGTATATCTTGATAAAAAACAATGTACATTGAAAACATATGTAGCATAAGGAAATTGTTCAAAGTAATCTTATTGATTAAATTGTAGTTTTTTAATCATGACACTTATTTACGCAAATTTACATGATTTGTACTAGGTAACAATTTGAATAARTTAGCTGCAAGCAGGASATAGACWTTTGTTCAGTTTGCTGTGAGATTTCGTGAGATACTTTACCATGATTTCAAAAGATCGTCATTTCGMRATACATCACTTTCTTTTTTCTAATCGTTTATACAAGATTTTAACGAATTATTATCCAAATCGAAATTCAAGGGATCAGTTGTTTTTATTTTTAGTTATTCTTACATATATTTTACCTTCTATTGTTGTAGGGGTAAATGCTATTTTTGTGAATATGTTCAACATAATTACAATGTTTTAATTTATTATTACTAATGTTACATTTTATATTAATTTCTATTTATTATTAATTCTTTGATAAATGTAATTTTGATTCACTCCTACGTTTTTTTTGACAAAGTGGTAGCGAACTGTAGTTCACATAAACCTTAACCCTTTGTACTCCGAATTATATTTCGATTTTATTTTCAACTGATTTCAATGATTTTAAATCTATATTAAAGATTTACTTTAATTAAGAATATGTAAATTTAAATATAATTTAAAGGAAAAAATAAAATGTTTATTTTATTTTCATTATTTTTATATTTTGTAATTTTCAAAGTTTCATTTTTTGATGTAAAAACCGATGCCAAATAAAACCCTACATAAGAGTGCAAAGAGTTAATGTATCCTATAGTTTTACTGTACAACATTTGTATTTAATAACAATTTTTCTAGGTGTATTTATATTTCATATCCGAATTAACCCTGCAGTCTACTGTTAGACTTATTCAAAAATTGGTAGCAGCCTTAATAATGATCTTTGTCTACAGTATTTCCATCTTTTTCTTTGATACAGTTCGTTGAATTTTACTTTTTAATTCATCAACAATCCTTATTCTTGCATGTATAATATATATTCTTATTTTTTTAGATACAATTACTAATAGCACGTTTAAAATTAGAAAGCGAAAAGTTTACTAATATCAAAGAACTATCCATTTTTAAAAAGTATAGTGTTCAAAGTAAATTTTATGTCTATACTGTAAATGGTAGGCATAAGTAGTTGTATGAAAATAATTGTAATATCAAACTTTTGTAATATAAATAATCGTAAATGTTTACAGTTTTCTTTTACTTTTATTGCACATCACTAATATTTCCAAGCATTTTTGATGTGTTTTTGTTGTATATTGGCAAATTGGAAATTAATCAATTAAGGCTACCTCTTATTGAAAATAAAACCTTTGAATCTAGAGTTATATATTATAGCTTGCTCAGCTATCATATATTTGTTCTTATTATATTAGCTACAATTGGATGTTTTAGCTTCTCAACTTTTTTAATTTTCATACAACATGCTTGCTGTCAATATACAATCCTAAGGTACGTTTCTTGTGATAGCGTAAATTTTTATTTATTTATGTACTTATTATGTACTCAATAATTTCATTAATATGTTCTGTTTAAATGGAAGATTAAAAATTTGCCAACCATTTGAAGAAAAGGAAAATTACAATAGAAAGATTTTCTATTTTTCTACAGAGTCTGAAGAAGACAATTGGATAATCGATATTATTAATCGACATCAAAAATCCATAGAGTAAGTCAATTATGTTTTCTACAAATTTGTATGAACTTAATATAATTATTATAAATTTTTTATTTTGTTCTACTTAAGGTTTGTTGACATGCTTAGAAACATCTCAAGTGAAGCTTATTTTATTGTTGTTTTTCTTGCAATGATTCTCACTGTTTTTAATTTTTTGTGCGTAAGTAATTTGCGCCAAATTATTATGCAATGACTTTTATTATCATTTTTTATTTTCTTTTATTTCTATTTCACTATAATGCAATTTTGTACAAGTTTTTTATTGAAGTATTTAGACATTTTTGTTGTAGATATTTTATTTGTTATTTTTATAAAAAAGGAATAAAAAACACTGAAGAATATTAATAAAATACTTTTTTGCTATATTTATTATTAGTTTAATTAGTAAATTTATATCAATTTTCTTTTTTAGATCATGAAATATTCTGAATTATCAGAAAATATAATAGATAGAATTGAGTTTGGGATGTATGTTATTGGCTCATTTTTTACAATATATATTAATTTTTATCTTGGACAAAAGCTGCTAAATCATAGCAACGCAGTATTTGTGGAATTGTACGAAAAAATTA